ACCAGAAGATGCGCACGACACACTCATGATTCAAAGAAAAACTATACCGAAAAAGATAAACCAAACTAGGAAATAAGTCTTACCATGAAAAGAAATTCGCAGATCTGAAGGAAGCACTCTGAAGGATTCAGTTATGAGTCAATAAGTCAAAAGAAGCGACAAAGTTGCGAGAAAACAGGAAATTAGATTGCGGAGGGAAATTGGAGACAGAATAAACTTCAAGGGACGATTTGCTATTTATACTTAACCCTAAATTCAGTAGTGACCGTTGAGGAGAAAAAGAAATAGGTGCGCGTGGGTTGTACTTTCTAATCTCACGAGTGAACGCGACCCTTGAGAATTGCACCTATCGACGGCAGCTACGTGGCCTATAAAAAGTAACTGTTGCCCCGTCAGCGAACGTTGTAATTAATTCTAGCAATTTGTGTCGTTTCAGCTTCCAATTCCTTTTTCACACCAAGTATTGAGACGTCGGGGCACAACAACAAAAAACCGACATGTCTGGCTTTCTCAAATTGAGAATTTCATGATATTTTTCAGCATCAATACCCGTCTTCTTCAAGACGCACATTAATGCTGGGGGCCACCTTGTTGACATGGTTTTCTCTAAACCAAATAATTAATAATTATTGGCACCAGGAGCTCAGTAATTAGAAGATTATGCTATCTCAGAGGTTGATATACTCGCGAATTTCAAGTAACTACAAGTCAGATAAGAGTGAGCCAAATACCGAAGTCATCGTCAAGAAGCCGAAATCTTGTATCGGTTATGACCTAGCAAACCGATATCTATGACATGATAAACCGACGTTACAAGGCGGTGCCAACTCAGCAAATCATCATTACGCTTAGCCAAGTGGCGTGTTACAAGAATAAGTGGCAATCGGCCGCAATTGACTTTTCTTTTAGAATTAACGTAGTTTCAATGATCTTGTACTGTGCTATAAAAAGCATGGAGAAGCTTCCAAAAAGGGACATGAAATAAGAACTTTCACATTCGATAAGAACACGTTGTACCATCGTTGAATAATAATAATTTCTCTTGATAATTAACAGTACTCGCTCTAAATACTCTTTGATAATTCACTTATAACAACAAAAAATCAGAGCAAATTTTTCAAAATTCTCAATTTAAAACTTTAAAACTTAACGGGTGTCACTAAACTACCAACATAAACCACACATACTAGCAAATCGATAAACTAGATCAATTCCAAAAAGATCGAAGCTTATCAATTCAAAAGACAAGTTTGAAATCCAATCATCTCCAAAGACTGTACAAAATCAAACCATAGTATCAAGCGGAAGCAGAAAAGTATCAACGGAAGCAGTATAGTGCAACATATCAATAATGAAGATAACATGAAGTAAACAAGTCAACAACAAGTGACCACCACTTGTTCGTCTACTCGCCGCCGCCGCCAACCAACTCAACGTGAGAAAGAGGTAGAGAAGGAGGAACAACAAAACAATGGGGGTGAGCAAAACTACTATGCTCACCAATATCGCATAAGTCTATCTTGCATAAAGATTCAAAACCATAAATAGAGTATGCATAGAATCCAGGTCTAACTCCCTATTCGGCCCTATTGCAAACCTCCTATGTACATACAACAACCTTCCGATCAGACATCGGCAAGGAAGTAACCGAAAACATTCCCACCCCGGATGCAACGGGCATAGGATCCTTTCCAGGAGACAGTAGAGCTGTTTTTCTCCTTCCAGATACAACGGCATATGGCGTCTCTCCCGGATGCAACGGGCAGGCGACCTCTCACTGCTTATGCATTTATCAAAGGCACTAAAGGCGAGACGCTCCTGGCGGTGTAACACACTAGACTAGGGTTCTCACGCATACTTAAGTTATCGAAACGAATATTTATACGAAATAAAGAAATGCGATAATTATAGATACACAAATTGTACCCACCTGGAGGCAGTGAATAACACAAAGGCGAGGCTCGGATAAGTGGTGAGGTCAACACCTCAAAACACCTACACGAAATCAAGATAGCCTCTCGATTACTACTAATCTAGCGAATACATAAACTTAGTTGAAACATTTCAACTAAGTGGCTCGTGGAAAGTCTCGTGGAGCTATGGAGTATTGACTCAACTCAGACCAAGTATGGGAAAGACATATTTTAATCAAAGAAAGGTTGACCATGTCAAACAAAAGGTCAAAGGTCAAAGGCTCGGGAAAGAGTCCGAAGACCGGGTACTAATCGGGTTACCCCAAAATCTACTGAGGGCTCGACTCTGGAAACAAGTATATATAAAATCACATCAGGGGACGACATACAAGGAAGATTATGTAAAAATTCACACTTAAGCAAAACGAACCGGATTTTTCAAAATATCTATAAATAAGGCACAATTGAAAGATGACCAATAAAAAGAATGAGTAATGATCTGAAATTTTTACGCATAAAAGAACATGATGAGCCTATAATATCTACCAAATATCAGCCTCAAAACTTAAATATGTGATTTTAGAAAAATAAAACAAGTTTGCAGCAAAAACGCTCATGGATTTTATTGACTGACCAATAGAATAATTCAGGACTTAAAAATTTTAAGAAAATAACTATAACATGCCAGGAACAAAATATATAAATTTTAAGAATAAACACTGAACATGCGATTTATGAAAATTGCTACAAATTTCAGCCAAAAACACGATTCTAGCAGAAACATAACCTATTGAATCCAATAATTTTTGAAATTTTTACCACATGAAATTATCATATCAAATAAGAATAATTACCAAGTTACATGCATAAACATCAAGAGCTTGATTTTATTTGATTTTTCAAAGATTCTGCAGAAACGAACATTTAATTATTTACCCTAGCAATTCAACTCCAATAATTATGAAAATTTAACACAAAGTCAATACATATAAAAGGAGTAATATATCCAAAATTCAGAAGTTATTGACAAACATATGAATTATCATGCATTTAACAAATTCTAGCAAACACATAAACTTCAAAAATCAATATCTTGCAAAATACAAATCCAAAATGCACAAGGTTAAGACCATTGTGATCAGAACACAAAGATGTTCCATAATTCAAGAGGTAACCACGAGATACATTCAGATGCTAAGGGTTCAATATTAAACCCT